TCTCCTTTCTCTTTTCAGACCTGTTAGTACCCTAGTGCCACATTTCCCCATCAGTGTGCACCTGCTGCATATAGTGGCAGAAATAATAAAGTTTGGTCATCTTGTAAAGCTTTGATCAGGCACTATTGAAGTTTAAATTGGTGAGAATAGCCAATGAATCCATGGGTCAGATTAAAAGATTATCTTAGGAGGGTATATGTAACCAGTTCTTCAGTTCTGATTCTTATGACTGACTTAGTTGAAAACATCAGGGAGAAAATTATTATGTTGTTTTGTGGCCTTGTCTGTAGAGTTGGATTGCAAATCTTCATTTGTAGAAGTTTTGATTACTTTGTTTTTCAGGGAATAAAAAAGCCATACAACCCTATTCTGGGAGAGACGTTTCGCTGCTGTTGGTTTCACCCTCAGACGAACAGTCACACGTTTTACATTGCAGAACAGGTAAATCGCTTTATTTGGATGCTCAGGTGTTGCAAACAGAAGCCTGCTTGCACCTCCATGTTTGGGAACATGCTCCTCATCCCACTTCAGGAGAGAAACTTGGAGTTTTGTGTAAACATCCAGAGTGGCACATGGGGTAAACTAGCTGCTGATCTTTTCTCTTTTTGCATTTACGGAGAATATGTGAGGTTTGGTGAGCACTCAGGACTATAAGAGCAGGTCTGCCATATATTACATTAGCCTCTTCAATAAAGACCTTTTTCATAGGATTCTGTCCTGTTTTCTTGTAAATAAAACATGGTTTGTGTGGCCTCTGTCAAAAGGGGCATAAAACACATAGCTAAAAACTACCTTTCTTTGTTTCTGAATCTATAATGATTTTAATAGGAGTAAATTGAGGGCTTATCTCTATGGGTATAAATGAAGGGCAGAGCTCAACTCGCCTGACAAAACTTAGTTTGAGATTTACAATGTTAGTAAAGCGATCTGAGGACCATGTGGACTTTGGTACAGGGACTCCCTGTTTCACGTACTTTTTTTTTTCCTATTTAATCAAGGAATTTTTGTTTTATTTTATTTCAGCCACTGCATCCATTTTATGGAAGTTACTCAAGTGGTGCCAAAAAGTTCTGCACTTTTATTGCGTTGAAAATCTGACAGTGTACCTGTTGGCCTAAAGTGCACAAGAACAAGAAAATACGGGGTGGGGGAGAAAGTTTACATATATAAGGTTCTCATATATAATGGTCTCACATATAACATTCCCTCCTTTAATATTGAAGTTAATAGTACGGATGGGGCTTAGAGGACTCTGCTGGGTCCTGTGACCTCCATCTTGTGCTTTCACTAGAGCATGTGTGAGGCTGTGTATGCACCCACCGCTCTGCTTAGCCTGTAAAGACTGCTGTAAATGACGTGTGTCTGGTTTTCTTCTAGGTGTCCCATCATCCGCCAGTGTCAGCTTTTCATGTCAGCAATAGGAAGGATGGATTCTGCATCACTGGCAGCATTCTAGCTAGGTCCAAGTTTTATGGTAAGGCATTAAGCCTGGGCTTCTTCCAGGAAACATCGTGGCATTAGTTTTGGTTTGTTTTTCAATCACTCCTGAGTGTGTTGAAAGTTAAGAACAAAAAAATGCTTAAGACATCTACTGCCAGGACACCCTAATTCCTTGTCTTGGCTCTCCTGCGTTTTCCCCACTTCTACCATTTTGGTGGGAGATCACACTGATGTAAAAAAAAAAAACCAAAAACAAAAAAACCAAACAACTTTAAAAACATGGTTTTCAGAAAGAAAAGGTACATGAGAATGTATAGGCACTTTGTATGTGCTCATGGATGAGTCATTTTATAGCTATCTGATCATCCCACTGACTTTTGCAAAAGTCGCTGTATAAATGTAACCGTTTATCTAGCTCCCAAATTTCTGAGAGTTGAACCCTAGAGCTTCAAAATATCTTTGAATCTTTTAATCTCAATGGAGACAGTGCAACTGCAGGCTCTGAAACAGTGTTGCTATTTGAGTTTATTAGAACTGCCTGCCTCTGACAGTAAATGATTTGCAGAGTCCTGAATTATTAGCATTTCATATTTCTTCTTGCATCAGTGACCTACATTGAAACGGAAGGTGTTTTTCTAAAGTAGGATGAGTTACCCAAGTATAACAGGCATTCTTTAATATATATGTGTTTGTTCTTTTCAATTCTAGGTAACTCACTTTCTGCACTGTTGGATGGCAAAGCAAAGCTGATGTTTCTAAACAGGGGGGAAGATTATATAATTACTATGCCATATGCCCACTGTAAAGGTAGGTTATGACTGTTCAAATAGGAAGCAAACAGAAAGAATAATATAACGGTATCTTACTGACTAACTTTGCACTGGCTCTCTTCTTCCCTCTTGAATACCTGGCACTGCAGGGATTGGTAATTCCAGGGGGTGGTTGCTCCGTATGAGTCATAGTGCTCAGCAGAAGACTGGTAATCCTCACTGAAGTCTTCTTGATTTGTCTGTGCAGACCTGAGAAGAGAATTAGGCCCATCTGAGTTAGTTTTAACACTGTGTAGAAACAGAAAAATACTGTGTATATGCACTGCAGATAAAGTGAAGATGGAAAGAATAAGAGTACACTTCTGAGCTTCTGAGGATAAAAAGTTTTTCTAACATTAACACTAAAATTGTTTAATATATTTTCTGGCTTTTTGAGAATAAAGGAAATTCCTGACTTCCCTTCTGATTTCTTTGTTACTCTAATCATGATATTCCTCAGTGTATGAGCTGCCTCAGTGAGGCTCGTACCTGTTACCATGTGGGTTTGCTCTGTTGAGCTGAATGTGCACTGAGGCCAGGGGATGGCTGCTGATTCACTGCTGTAACTTTGCATTTCTCCTTGGGAAGCTAAGCATCAGTGGCATTTAAACAACAGTGATAAAATCACTCCGTTTGATCCAATTTTGTTTTTTGAATAGGTTTTATTCTGGCATGTTGACATCTAAGTTAATATTTATGGAGGGTCTGGCTACCTGCAAACAGCAACTTCTGTAAATCACACCCTCTAAACTACTCCTTTGCATAAACCCTTTTCTTGTCAGTTTTTATTTTTCTGCAAATGACCTTTTCAGAAAATGGTAAGCCTGTGTAAAAAGGAGTCCCCTACATGACTGCTAATCTCCCTGATGAATTATGATGAATCCCATTACAGCTCCTACCTGCCCCATCCACAAGTGTGGGAAGTGACTGCGTCTGTTTGAGCATTAGTGTAAAAGAAGTTGCTGGGCACAACTTTCCTTCCTTTTCCTTTCCCACTTTCAGCTTGCCGCGCATGCACTATCAGCACCTGCGAGTTAAGCTTTTTCCTAGCTGGTGCAGTAAATGGGGAATATGGACGCAGGAGGATTCTTCATGCTTATAGTAAAGAGCCATTTCCTAGAAACTTTGCTTTCTGTCTTTTCAAAACTTTAAGCCAAGTAGTGGATTTCACAGCATGTCAGTGAGAGCCAGTTTGAGTTCAGAAAGCAGATCACTTCCACTGGGGCCTCTCTTAAGTCTCTTTTTCCCTTTCAGGCCTTCTATATGGTACCATGACAATGGAGCTTGGAGGGAAAGTTACCATCGACTGTGAGAAAACTAACCATAGGGCAGAACTGGAATTCAAGCTAAAGGTAAGAGACATTGTGGCCCCCATTTTGAAGGGGTCTCAGGCTTGCCCCTGTGCTCCAGACAAGGTTTGGCCATGCACACCAGCTCATTTACATACCAGCAATGTATGCATGCACTGCAGGGTGGCCTCCCCAGAGAGGAGGCATCATCCTGTGGTCAGTTTGCCTAGTGTGACTGTGTTTGAACCGGAAAAGCCTGGATTTTACACATGACTTGCTCAGTGACAGTCAGCTGGCTACTGAATGTTTGGCAGTGACAGTGTGGCTTCTGTTTAGGAAGGTAAAATTGTTTTTGCTTGCAAAATACAGCAAGGTGTACAAACTACTTTGAGCCAAGTGAGGATGTGGATCTTAAGTGTAGCTCTCCAGTAGCCAGCACATACGTACTCTTACCTTGCAGGTATTACAGCGAACGGTACCTTGTGTTTCTCAAGGCTACAGGACCTTGCTTTGATGGTAGAGCAAGAGCCCATTTTCAGACAGATAATTTTAAGTGGCTATCACACTGACAAGCTACACTGTCATTGCCTTGTACTGACTTGTTCATGTAGCTATTCACTCCCCTAGAAAGGCTGGTGATGCAGATTTATGGTATGCATATCAAATAGAGACATCTTTGAGCATTCTTGTAGTTACATGTGTTAAAATTTGGGAGGGAAAGTGATGACCTGTAACTATTTTGGACAGTTAACTTGCTTTTTAAGGACCATCCATTTCTCTTCTGTTCCAAAAAACAATTTCTTGCCTGGGCATAAAATGAAAGATGGAGAACTGAGAGCCTGCAGGACTTTAGATTTGCAGCCTTAGCCAACATAAATGTGAGAGATTACTGGAGTTAGGGGAGTCTTTTGCATGCTGCGTTTTTCTGCGGGCAATAATATTATTCTGTCTTTATTTGCCCTTTGCAAAGTGAACTGTTGTCCCATGTACTTCCTTGACATTTGCATATACTTGTATTTAAAGCCTGTTCTTCCCATAGTCCTGACTTGCTGTGTTGAGGCCAACGGAAAATTTCCCTGATTTCAGTCAGTGTCATCTCAAACCTACGAACACTTCAGAGCTTAAAATGCAGACCCTTCTTTTCTGGCTTGAAAACAACATGCTTAGTCCAGACATGACTCAGAAAGGTGCCTGTGGCTTAATTATGTGCTCTGCTTTAAATATTTCTTAGCCACTTTTTTTATGAGAATTGTGAGAAGTTGAAGGTAAACCCCATGACTTTGTTATTAATTTGGATATGTACTAATTCTCTACTGGATTGCATACATTGATTCTTGAGATACTTTTGATTTCTTTTTCCATGGGTGTTGCAGGAAATTTGGGTTTATATTGTTATTAAAAAAAAAGTTCCTCTGCACAAACATTATTGGAAAGTAGCTACTAAAATTTCTGAAGCAATGTTGTGTGGTGTGAATGGAAGAGCTGGTCACTCTACTACTGCTGATTCCTCTGATTGGCAGGCAGGAGGTGAGGAGAATTTTCCATTGTTCTGAGAATCTTTTCCTTGACTCTGGAAATACCTTTTTTCTTTTTGTGTTTGCTGACGACAAGAGCTTCTTCACACTGGAGACTTCACACAGATGCAGCTGTCAGCAGTGCCACACTGCTGTTGTTGTCCCATAAGCAGGAAAAGTCACCAACTGCGTTAGTACTGCTCCTTTTCTTTGGACAAGGCTGCAAGCATAAGGGTGCAAACTGTAATGTGGTTCTGGACGACAGGAAGGACTTGCCCACATACACTTATCCTGATGTCTAGCTGAAAATAAATGTATTTGCAATTAAGGCAAGGTCTTGCACTGCTGGATGTTAATGCACCTGAAGGCTTATCTCCCCTCCTGCAACTCCTACAGTGATTTTGGTGTCACAAACGAAAGGAGGAAGCCACAATGCTAGACAGTCAAAATCTGTGTTAGAATTCATTCTGCCTTTCTCCAGAAATAGTGGAAATCATGCAGGTTGCACTTCCCTCCTGCCTCATCCCTGTTTTTGACTCCCTTCCACTTCTCACCAGACTGATCATAGTTTCTATTTCTGTTCTCCCCTGACAGCCCTTCTTCGGTGGAAGCGCAAGCATTAATCAAATCTCTGGGAAGATTAAATCAGGAGAAGAAGTGTTAGCAAGTCTCAGTGGACACTGGGTAACGTATGATAATTGAAGTTGCTGATAGTGTAAGTGTGCATGGCAGCAGGGTGGGTGGGAGGACTGGAAGCCCTTGGCAGGCTCCAGGCATTGGAGCGGGAGCTGTGGAGAGCTCACGGCCTGCCTCTTCTGCCATCCCCAGGGACCGCAGGGAGCAGAGCTTTCTGGGCCACACCTCTCAAGGTCATTTATGCTTCTGTGGTTCCATCCAGCAGCTGTGCAAATAACACTTGCACTCCCAGAGCCTGGGCCAAAGCTGGAACTGGTGAGGTGCATTTCCATCGAAGCCAGTGGCTCTGTATTTAGGGTCCCAGGCTTGGGACAAGCACTGATGGCAGAAGACTTAGTGTGTCTTATGTGTGATTGTGAAAGTCGTGAGGCTTCCTTTTTTCTTGTGTTTAATACTTCCCCAGCTACAGCAATATCAGGGAAGAACTTCACAGGGTTTTAAATTCATTATTTTCACAGCAAACCTTTATGACAGAAAATGGTTATGCTTCTGTTCATGAGAAGAAGGACCAAGAGACAGATTCTGTGAGGCTCTGTCTGTATGGCAGCTCAGAATAGTCAGCAGAGCAGCTAGCACCTTTACACACCTAGTGTCCGAAAGTGTATCACTCAAAGGCATCCTTAAGCCAAAATCCAGCAAGAATGAAGTTGTATGGTGAAGGATGTGGACTAGAGTTTTGTTTGGAAACTCCTGGTAACAGAGGGAAAGCCATGAGCCCTGGCTTTGGGCTGGACATTTCAGTATTTATCTCAGCTACATTTAGACATCTGCATCTTCATTATAGTTGACCTGTGCTCCCTTTCCAGTCCGTAGAAATTGTCACTCCTGAGACAAGATTTGTTTTATCCTAAAGCAGGTGTTTAAAGTAGGTCAGGTGAAATGTGTCTGGGTAAAGCCCTTTCTATAGTCAGGTCCTAACCACAGTGTAGCCTTTGGTATTGGACTCCTCCCTTCAGGCAATTTGTCTTTTTACATAGAAAGCTAAACACCATTTTGAAATTGGGAGATTTGACCTTTCTAGATATATACAAGGAGATTTGCTCCGTGTGCCTGGGTAGCTTTTCCATTCTGAGCTCCCTTTCCTGCAGGATGAGCCTTGGCAGTTGTGAGTTGTGCTGGACTGTGGAGTACCTTGTCTGCGGTGTGTGCTGCGAGCACCATCCATGAGATTATGTAATTGGGCGACTCCCCTGGGGCGCTGAGCCACATGGCTGCATGCTGCTCAGCTTCCAGCCTTCTGTGTTTGGGTTTTATCAGCCTGAAAGTAATTTATTCCTCCCTTGTTCTTTGTGCTGGTTGTTAGTGGTGCACAAATTTAGAACGATGTATAAAAGAAGTTAAATGGCTTTGAAAGGGTGGCTCCGTAAGCCGCTGTTTGCTGTTGCATGCTGTGAATAGAGTAGCTGCTGAGCAGCAGTAGGGATGTTGTTTGTTCTCCTCCCTCCCTGCTGAGGGTATTGGCCTGCTCTCCTGAGCTCTGCAGGCTTTTCTCTGGCACTGTCGGGTTTCCTGAGAGAAACCCTTGCATCCTAAAGGGTAATTCTCTGCCTCAGGACCTGAAAACCCACCTGAATAAAGAAGGGAAGCAAATCCCATGCTTCTCAACCCCAGGGCTGAGCAGCAGCCGAGGGTGTGTATATATGCCCCATAGAGGTACACATAGTGACGTTCGATAATGCCTGCCTGCCTCTTGCCATCCACAGCTGGGGCCTCTTGCAGACCTGAGATCTGCCCTGGAACTGGCACCTCAGGACATGGCAGAGGAGTCCTGAGGGGGACTGTGAGGAGGGATGAGAGTCCCTCAGTGATGAAGGAATTTCACAGCTGAAGGTGTGGGAAATAGACTTTGAGACATGTGTCAATGGACCCTGGCAGGGGAAGAAATGTAGCAGCCAGGATGCAAAGAAATGAGGCAGCGACAGGTGAAGCTGATAGCTGTGACCTAAATAAGGTTTGCATGATACTCGTACTCCAGGCAGCTGAATGGCACCAGTGCACATGCTGTTCAGCAGCTGCAATCATCCCATTCATCCCACTTGCAGTAAGCGTCGTGCTGTTCACTGTATGCTCTGTAATCTACCCCATCTGGCTCTGTGACATTGCTGCGACTGTGAGCAAGGCTGGGAGGCAGCTTAGTTAAGCAGGGACACAGCAATATTGTCTAGTTGGCCTCAGATCAGACAAGTGCTGCTTGATAGTCAGTTGCCAAGTAAATTCTCAAGGAGTAAGGATGAAAGACCCCTGGCATTTGGAAGTGCTAAATGAAATTTGGGAGCAGTAATAGAAAAATCTGGCTAAACTGGAAAAAAAAAAGTGAGGTATTATCACAGCTTTAGCTCTCCTTTATAGAGAGGATGGTATTACAGTAGTCTCTGTGTGAGACTTGCACATTGAGAAATAGAAGAAAGACTGGAAAAGGAGCTAGGGAATCTTGTTTGTGTGTGCTGGGTGTACCTGGGAGGAACCGTGGGGAAAGAAGAGCATCGCAAGGCTTCCCTGGGTACTCTTGTCTGGGGACAAGACTAACAAAAGGGACCAGATCCCTTTCTAATTCTTCTCTCATTAATTCAGCCAGTGTTTCTGGGAATGCCTTCCCTCATTCATCTTAGGAACTTTCAGGAAGTGTTCAGTGAGATTTAATGGGATAGAGGAGGAAAGAAACCTTCCAACCAAGCCCTATTCCTGATCATCATCCAGAAGCAGCTTCCATTTGGCAGGATTATCTTCTGCCTTGTTTCTCTGATTGTCATTAACCTTTTCACTTTATTTTCCTTCTCAGGATGGGGAGGTGCATATAAATGAGTTGAAAAACGGGAACACGGAAATGTTCTGGAACCCAACCAGTGAAGTCCGAAGGCAGAGGCTGAAGCGCCATATTGTGCTGTTTGAGGAGCAGATGGACTTTGAGTCGGAGAGGTAAGGAGCTCTGGGAACATCTTGCTGCCGCTTCCCCGCTGGAAGCAGGGTTCTGACCAGAAGGCTCTGATTCCTCAGCACAGTCCTAGGAAGGCAGTGACTTGCTTTGCCTGCACAGACTGCCCAGCCATTTGCCTGGTTTTTTTCCATCCATTTAAACTCTGGAGTATTTCCGTGAAGTGTAGCTGTGAAATAACCAGGGAGCTGGACTGAGAAATGGTGAGGGTGACGTTTTATCTGCTAAAATAACAACTCTTCTTGAACTCCAGAGATCATGAACGGAGTCTCTAACTGCTGGAACATTTTATGGAAGGGCAAGCTGTCAATCTGAGGTCAGATGTCTTGTTAAGAAGGGTTGTTTCAACCACAGGCTCTTAAACTATATGCAGGAATCATGTGGAAAGTCTTGGCAGGAGCAGAGCAATAGTTTGAACCACATAGAGGATTTTATGAGAGAATATAATTAAACAGATGTTTAACCCTGCCTCATAATCTCAGCTGAGATCTCCAGTGAAGTCTGCACCAGTTTTTTTAGGGTAACCTAGATTACCTAAAAATATAGTCCCGGCATATGATTTAGGAAATGGAAGGAATGACTACCTGATGCAATGAGCACCCGTGAGCCAGTTCTTGAGCAAGAATGGCTAGAACCAACATCATGTGGTGCTGGCTTCAAACGAACTAGTCCTGTCTCACCAGTATGGTTAGCCAGTACCAGCTCACATCCCAGTTTGCTGCCTGGCTCTGCATTGCACTGGCTACTTCCCTGTGGGCATGTAATTTGGGTGTTGCGTCACATCACACTAAGAAGATTCCCCTTTTTATGGATGAAGAAAGGGATTGCATGAAGATAGAAACACATTAACATCTAGTTTGTTCTGGACAGGGAAAATAAAGTCTGTATTTATAACTTACAGTCGTGCAATTGCTGTTGTCACAGAGCAGAGCAGACCGCAGCACATTTCTCTATTAATCTTCTGAAGAAGATTCTTTTAAAGGAGAAGAGAAATCTCCGTCCTGTGGAAAAAGAATCTCCATTTCTCTGTTTACCAGGGTACTACCAGAGCTGACTCCCTTTGCTTCATCATAAATTAATGATAACGTGCATCCAAGGGAGGGAGGCAAAAGAAAAAATTTTTGAAATCGCTTACAGACATTCCACTGAGTTCCTTATTATGCTGACAGTTGCAAGAATAAATTACCATATAATCCAGGTTACGTTCTGCCTGAATTGCTTAGTCTCTCCTGCAGTGCTGAAAATCACCTGTTTTCACAAGCGCTGGAGAGTCTCTGAAGTTCATACCATTATGCAGCTCACCGTGGAGGGTCTCATTGTCTGACATGTGCAGCTCTTGATGGAGTGATTTGCCCTTGTCAAACAATTTTCTGCGTGTCCCTCTGAGGTTCTTAGAATTAGAGGACTCGCTCTTTACACCGCTGCATTCCTTAGGACTGACTATGCCACTGCAGTATTTTCTCAGGACATTATTTTCACTCCTCTCTCCCCTACCCCCATCACTTTGGGTTTGAATTGAGTTTCCTTCCTTTGTTTCTGGCAGAAAATATTCATAGACAGGAAAGTGGCAGTGATGTGTCAGAAAGAACAGGAAAGTGATCCTCTGCCTTCAGTTAATTATCTGAGAGGCTGCTTTTTTGCAAGTGTTGTGTTAACATATGATGATAGAAATATAATAAAAGCATCAGTATCTTTTTTAAATTAAATGCTTCACAGCAAGCTCCAAATAAATGCAGTAATATATTTCTCTTCTAAATGGAGAACTGGTGTTTTGTGGAGCTGGGAATACTGGAACAGCCTGGATCTCCAGTGCCTATTCTAACCGCTAAACCACTTGGCAATGTTTTGGGAGGGCTAGCTGCTAATCTCAGAAGTATTTCCAATCTGAGATGAAGATTAGAGTGCTCTGACTAGAGGAACTGTGAAGACGCCTATCACAGCTTGGCTATAGTAAAAAAAAAAAAAAAAAAAAAAAGTTATTTTTCTCTCATAAAGGCAGATCCTTTCCTCTGGGCAGAGGCTCAGCGAGACATATGACAGATCACATATCTTTTGGCAGCTGAAAACAAGTGCAAGTGAAAGCCTGTGTTCATGCTTGCAGTCTGTGAGCACAAGAATATGTCCGTTTCTTGCACGTTGAATCAGCTTCCTACAGATCTGGCTGCTAATCCTATATAGAAGTAGAACATTGAATGTACAGCTGCAAGCTGTGCACATGGATGTTGTTCAGCCTGGAGAAGAGAAGGCTCCAGAGAGACCTTGGAGCACCTTCCAGCGCTGAAAGGGGGATACAGGAGAGATGGGGGGGCTCTTGATCAGGGGGTGTAGTAATAGGATGAGGAGTAATGGTTTTAAGCTGAAAGAGGGCAGATTTAGACTAGATATTAGGAAGAAATGTTTTCCTGTGCGGGTGGTGAGGCAGTGGCCCAGGTTGCCCAGAGAAGCTGTGGATGCCCCATCCCTGGAGGGGTTCAAGGCCAGGCTGGATGAGGCTTTGAGCAACCTGGGCTAGTGGGAGGTGTCCCTGCCCATGGCAGAGGTTGGAACTAGATGATCTTTCAGGTCCCTTCCAACCCAAACCATTCTGTGATTCTATGATTCTATGAATTCGTTTTCCAGTGCTTCTGAACTTTAAATATAAAGCCTTTGTTTCAGGGATAGACATTAACACAAAGGCTTCTAAATATAAATGATTGAAAGGGCAAGGAAGATAACAGATTCTCCACTACACATCAATCACCTCTAAAGAGGCCACTGACCTCAATGAATTGAGCATAACTATCTTATAACTCGCCCAAACAGCACTGAAGATTTTAATGAATATTGTAGGTGATGTTATCTAAGGGTGGATCATTGTATACAGCATTCAGTGTTGCCATTCTCAGAATGTTCCTTTAATTTACAAGACAAAACTGAGGGGGAGCAATCCTGTTACAGTTCCTCTGGAGTACCAGTAGACCAGAAAAGTGTCTGCTCTACGGTTCCAGCTGGCAAAATGCATTGTTGGTTTTAAGGTGGTTTAGCTTACTTCCCTGTTTATTTCTAGGCTTTGGCAGCACGTTACCAGTGCAATAAACAAAGGTGATCAACACAAGGCTACGCAGGAAAAATTTGTGCTGGAAGAGGAGCAGAGGAATGCTGCCCGAGAGCGGAGAGAGAATGGCACAGAATGGAAACCGCTGCTCTTCCAGCACGATGCCACAACTAACGAGTGGCGCTACAAATACGAGGAGTGAGTGGTGGGGTTGGGGGTTACGAACAGACCTTGCTGCTTGAGTCCCCAGGGATGCACCAAGGTTACAGACCTCTAATTTGGGTCCTGCCATTCCCCAAACTGTGCCCTGGGCTTGCTCTTTCTGAGCTCCACATCAGTATTAGAATACATATTCCTGATACTAATTGGGAATAGCTGGAAATGAGGGCTTGGCAATGGAAAATCTGCTATGCCATGGGTACAGATCCCTATTGTGGCAATCAAGTGTGGAATCATTTAGCAGACATTTTCTGCACTGTGCGAGCAGAGCTGACAACTGTGCTCTCCTACCCTGGCAGAAGGGCGAAGCCTCTGGAGACTGAACCCCCCTCATTTATTGCTAGGAACTGTGAATGTAGAGGGAAGTATCTGTTACTCCTTGCACTGCGTCTGCAGAAACTCTTGTTAGTGTCAGGAGTGAACATCTGCCCTGGTGCTTGTAGAATTGGTGCATTGCTCTTAACACACTGGGTGGGATTCTTGCTTTTCTGATGTTTTTTCCTTTGGTCTCAAAAGTTTAAGACCTTGGGATCCTTTGACCGACATTGCCCAATTTGAGAAGAATGGGATACTTCAGACCATGGAAAGACACTTATCCACAAGGATGTCAAACCACAAAACAACATGCATAAACAATCAAATGACACGGCACAAGGTAAAGAGCCTGTTTTGGGGAATGAAATCTTCTTTAAGACTGTTTAGATATGTAGCCCTTTTCTGCAGCATTTTCATGTAAGCACGGCATAGGCTGAAAGGTTTGTTCTGGGTAAATGTAGCTTACAACTCTAGACCTGCAATATTATACCATCAGCAACTCCAAATAATTATAATTCTTGATTGATGTATCCTATCCTCCTATCCATTTTGGTATTTTTCTTCCACCCAGAGTTAGTGACAGTGACTCCCATACTGGGTTTTGCACATGGCTGAGCTTAACTTTACTGTTCAGTGTTTCCAAAGCAGAAAGCTTCCCATAGTGAGGGTGTCAGCAAGGTTTCAGAGTACACAACTGAGATCCCGCAACTTCAATTTTGGTCTTTGCCATCTGCCTTTACCACTTGCTTCCTCTTAGACAAGACAAGAAACCTCTCTCCATCCTCTCCCTTAAACAGGGATGATACTTTCTTATTTCATTGCATTCATCGTTGGAGTAATACATGTCCTTCATAAAGTGCTTTGTAAATGTAGAACTGCTGAACTAGCTAGATGTAACCCATATTACACTGAGGAACTCAGATCTTATTATGAATGTAGACTTTTATTTTATAATACCTGAATCTGAACGTCTCTGAAACATTGGGAAGGTTGAGGTTCATAACTGCTTTTCAGACCCTGCAGTGAGAAGTGTTCCAATCAGTTTGTTTGGGTTACCCATTCAGGAGGCAGGGAGAAACTTTCCAAAGTGCATCAAGAAATTAGGGATAAAATTTCAGTGATGTTTAAATCTTTCAGGCACTGTCTGAAAAATCTTCACCGGGGACATTTTATTCTAAATTTTTCTTCTTTTCATCCTTTCTCTTATGTATCTGGTTGGTGATTACACAACTGAGCAAAAGAACTGTAAAATTCATCGCTAGTATGTGGCAGTTAAAGCTACAAGAAGAATAATTTGGATGGGTGTCTTAAGGATGTTATCATTTGAGAAAATGCTTCTGTATGGAGCATGCATGCAGTATCCTTAACTAGCTGCTAGGAGTCCAGCTGCTAGGAGTTGCCGAGAAAACAATCAAACTTCGCAATCTCACAGATACTACCCAGCACCCTGAATCATTTTGTTTAAAGCCAATCACAAGAGTCTTGAATTTGACAGTGAGCGAGTCTCTTTTAATCCCTGTTTTATCCAGAGGTCTGCCAAAGAGTGCAGGCGCCGCAAAACCAGCGATCAGCCATCCAACCACAGCCAGAATACAGAGAGCAGCTGTTCAACGCCAGAGTCGGTGCAGGAGCTCTCGGATGATGATGGCAAGTATTTGGATATCATTGGGTCAGGCTTTAGTGTTCTTCCCTCGGTACATTTCCCAGCCCATAGGCCACAGGCAAACACAGAGAATGTTCTGCTTTTATATTTTCCTTACATGCTTCTCCTCCCCTGTCTGCCTTATGCAATCTGTGGCAAAAAGGGCTTCCCAACTCCTGGCACAAACAAGTTGGAAAATACACTGAAATTCCTGTAGGTACAAGGTGGCATGAACACATTGGAAAAATACACTGACATTCCCCCTTTTCTTATCCTTTGTTGGAGGTGACCTGGAATGTTTCAGAGATGGGGCAGGTGTGAGCACTCCATTCCCTTCCCCTCAGCTGGGGAGGATGCTGCAAAAATTGTTTCCTGAGAGCTGAGAAGGGGCCCCAGGCCAGTGTCACAAGACCTCTTCCATTGACCTGTGTCTTTGGGGTGGAAGATTCTGTCCCATCTCCTTCTCCCCATGTTTCCTCCTGAGAGTGTCCCCCTGGCTGTGACAATCTGATCACAGCCAGCCACCTCCTGGGTGAACCTGGTTTGTGTATCATCACCACCACCAGAGATGGTGATGCAAAACATAATGTTGCTCAATACTGTGCCACAGGGTTTGACAGCCTGTGTGCTCAGTGTGGGAAAGAAATGAATCACCTGAAAGAAATCCATTCAGCCGTCTTATCCCTACAGAGAGCCCAACAAGACATACACAGGTAAACATTTTCTCTCATCAAGTCAATTCTCTTAATGGGCTAAAAATAACCTGTGGTGTTTAACTCCTCCACTGCAGCCTTTGGAGCATCCTTATCAGCTGCAGGGGTGCAGTTAATGACATTTCAATATGTAACCTATGAACGCACCAGAAAGGCAGAGCCACCCCTACTTGAAACAGGGAGGAAATGTCTTCCTCCTAAAACTCTCTTTATGGGGCAAAAAGCATCACCTCAGCATGTTAATCATCTCCTGGTGCTCACAAGTGCAGAACAGCTGCAGGAATTGGGAGGGGTGGGCCAGCTCCTGGCTATAAGTAAATCTCTCTCAGACAGGAAGGTGTGGGGTCTCCCTTCTCATCAAGTATGTTATGAACTTGCTCAGTTTGCTGCAGAAATGCAGGCATGTGGTCTGAAAACTGGGCTCCATGGGTGAAAAGCATTGAATTCCTGCTTTTTGTATAAATTGCTAGTTGCTGTCTGAGGGAAGCAGTGAGCACACCTGCTGCTGGTGATGGGCTTTGCACCGCAGACTCCTCTGGGAGGGCAGGGGGAGTATTAACGGCAACATTTGTGCCAGGGATCCCTGCTGATTGCCTTCTGCATGAGGAACGTTATCCAGCCCTCCTGAGGCTTTAGTGGGGTGGGATTACATGAGGCCCACTGCTTCTGGCTGTCAAAGCTGTTGGTGACATGACATGCTCTGCCTGACCCAGCAGCAGCTAGAAGTGCTTGTCTTTCCATTTAAAAGAGGGGAGCTAAAGTCTGCAGGGCACAGTGCCGTACCTGCCAGGGTGTCTCTAAATTGTGGGGATGCCTCCTGGTGTGGAAGCTCTGGGTATGCACACAGATGTGAATGCTCACCTCCCTCCAACACACAAATAAACATACTGCTTTCTTTTCCAGAAACCTCAGTGCTCTGAACAAAAAGTCCTTCCATAGGAAGGTCTCTTCTGAAAGCTTCCTCCTGGACTCTCGCTGTTGGTTTCTCCTCTGCATCTTTCTTACATGTCAACTATTCATTAATTATGTCTTCAAATAAAATCACTACGTTTGGCAGCAATAACGATTATGGGCTGCAGGAGGGGGCCACTCACGCAAGGAGCCGAGTGAGGCACCAAAGCACTTTAGAACCAATGCGGCAGAGGTGGAAGAAAGTTGAAAAAGAAGGTTAAAAAGGGACCTAGGAACCTGCAAAACTTTGTTCCTGCAGATTATGTCATTTTTGCCTTTTACATGTACATCTTCAAGGACCTCTTAACCTGTACGGGCCTTAATGCTGAAGCCAAATGTAGCTTTAATTGTGCAATTTGTTTTCTATGTCGTGTCATTTTCCGATGCAATTAATAATTACTCAGCAGTATTGGTACCCCCACAATAGTAAACACCCCAGCGTTTTGGAAGGGCCATGCTGGCCTGGTTCATAGGTCTATGAGTGAGGGAGTGCAGCTGGGGAGATGTAAAGAACGGACGTCCATGGTCCTGTCTAGCTGCATTTAATCATGGGAGGGAGCACACTTGGTCCAAAAAATCCACCCCCGGGATATTAAGTCATTATTTGTTTTGTCAGCACACACAGAATGGGACCTCAGGATGTGTTTTATTTTCCATTCCACGGGACTGTAAATATGCACAATTTCCTAGAGCCATTCCTCTTTAGGAAATGGCAAGTATCCAGTGAAAGCTCCTTGTTTGGTTAGGGAGCTGACTGGTGTCCTGGACCGGGCCCATTGGGTGTAACGTCAGACATGCCTGTTTGTGAGACCTGGTCACTATTATCATTATTATTTGCTATATGGCTGTTTTATAATATCACACACTAGCGTTGTAGAGAGGAATCCACTGCCCCAGGATAGGTGAGAAGGACAAGAGTGACATAGGTGTATGTGTGTTTGGTCGTAGGCACATTTGTTGTCAAAGGTCAGGAAGGCAGAAGGGTTTTGCCACTGCATTGTTCAACTCTGTTAATAGTCTTCCTATTTTACACCATTTTTTAAAGATTTGCAATATTTTCTGTAGACTGCGGACAATACTAAGCCTTTCTTTTCTGGCCTGAAGTAGTTCCAAGTGGTAAGTACTGCTATATATACAGCCTTAAAATACTTAATGGTGGTGCCAGTCTGGGCTATCTTTCAATGTAAATGTTTCCAAATTTTTAAGTACATTCCTCGTCATATTCCCCAGTTAGGGGAAACCTGTTTGTGCTTGACATGTTGAAATAAAAACTACACACAACTTTCAGTGGCAGTCTTTCTGACAAATTATTTGTGTGTTTGTACTCGGTTTTGTGTTTTATAGCATTTTACAAGTAAACAACTCCTAGGCTATGCTTTTTAGAGGAAAAGCTACATGAAAAGTCTTTCAATAATCTCAAACATAGGCCATAAGTTAGAAGAGCAATAGCATTTTGATACACCTCTGGCTCCACTTGTCTGTGTCTTCTAATTGTAGCAACTTCCTCAAAATGGAAAGAAATAAGTTGCCTTGATTTTCACTGTTGCACAGACCTGTCTTGGACTTAGAAAACCTTAATATTAAGGAGGTAACTTGATAATAGAGAATAGATACTTTCATGGAGAGAACCACAGCTCTCTGACGTGAACAGATGGGACAAGAGCTGGCATCTGGAAGCCAACATTCAAGAAATAGATCAAAAATAATAAAGGGTGAGAGTGACTTCATTATTAGCAAAAGTCTTCAGAAACCCAGAGGATTCATCCTTGAGGAATCATCCTTGAAGAATGTCAACATTATCAGTCTAGATCGGGTGCCTTTTTGAAGGATGTCATCTTAGTCACTCCTTTCTGAGGAAGTCTGACCTGTGCTGTGTGCGATGTAAAACTCAGTGGGAGGCGTTCCCCCAGCCTCTGTCTGTGAAAGAATGTCCAGCAGCTAACAATGCCAGCCTGGCTATGCAAAGTCCCGTATGCACCTTGAAAGCATTTGCTCCTCATACTGTGCAAAAACATCTACTAATTTCCTGCCTAACTTCAGCGAGTAAGCACAGCTCTGGCCTGTCAGCACAACCTTCCTCATCACCCACATCCCCTGTGGGACTACATATTCCCGTTCCTGACAGGAGCCTCTCCTCTTCTGGAGGGGTATTTACATCTCCTGGGTACTAATGTATTCTGGGCTTGAGAAATAGTTACTAAAAAAACAAATAAACCCCCAAACCCACCCAAACCAGAGAAGCAGTGCTGAACTGGAAGGCTTCAGTAGTTGTAAAGCAAATGCTTTAAATTCTTTGTATTGTTTCCATTTTACTGAACTATGCACCCACAGGGATTTTACTGGGACTTGTTAACTGCAGTTAAATAAACCGAACACTGTCGCCATGGGAGGAGTAGTTCAATGAAATAAACCATTAACCTACATAAACTAATTATGCATCAGCAGAGGAGGTGTTTACAACATTTACTGCTGCTGCTACAGGGGATTAAAAATAATCCAAAAAGGAACAATCTGTAAATCTTTGTGCCATTAATTTTAATCCAATTTCAACGTCCGGAGGTGAATGTTCCTACATGCCTGTTACGTGCACGTGGAAGACGAAAGGTATTCTTGAGGAAAGTCATAGCCAGAAACATTATTTCTCTAGGAGGAATAACGGCTGGTGAAAAAGTTATCAGCTATTTCAAGGGTTTAGAAAACCCAGTTTTGCACCCAGTCCGTGCATTTTTGGAAAAAATTCTCCTTCCATCCCCTGCCCCTCCTTTTCGTGATCAGCGAGTGTGAGCTTTGGGTGGGGAGACACGGGTCGGACCATTTCCTCACGTGGTTTCTCCTGCTCCCAGGGGGTGCAAAGGGCAGTTCCTGGACATGTCCTAACGCACGACGCGTGTTTCCTTGGCTCCAGTGGGTGGGCAGCGTGTTACTGGGGCACACGCTCCCTGCTTGTCCCGCTCCCCTTCCGGGGCTCTGCAGCCCCGGAGCGGCGGGGGCGGG